CCGCTGTATTTTACATCCTATGCTACCAAAAAGGCCAACGCAAATGTTGCTCAGGGTTTGCGGTGGATGAGCAAGCGCCCACCTGTATCCGGAGCATCTCTCGCTGCGGTCGGCTGGGCACCCGAGGGACCCAGGAGGCCCAAGAGCAACTGCTTGTGCCCTCCAGAGGCCGAAGTCAGGCAAGCTCACGTCCCGACGACGCGAGCGTTGGTTTCTGACACCGCGTGGATCGTCAATCTCGGACGACGGCGGCCGTCGGATAGCACAGGCCGTTCGATATCGGCCGATTCCAGGCCACTGGCGGCATTCGACCTTGAACGCCCGCGCTGGGGTGGTCGCCGCGTCGACGCGGCGTGAACCTGCCGCATGGCCCTCTCCCCCAAAATTACGAACACCAGAAACTGACCTGCCTTGGAGACGCCCTTTTTGTCGGGATTCACTGGCCTGGGTCAATCCAAACCTTGGTCAGTCGGGCCTTGCAGGAACCAGCAAAATCCTGCAGCATCCTGCAAGATCCTGCGCCCAAGCCGGGGTCAAAACGACCCCGGCTATGCAGGATTTGCAAGATCCCGCGCTCTGCTTGACCCCCGTCTGTCGGGCGCACGCTAACGTGGATTAGGGATCCATGGATCTGGCGCGTGGGCGCCTCGTCCACGGATCGGGGAAGGCACCCCCGACATGTAAGGCCAGCGCCGCCTGGTTCGGCGACGGATCGCGCCGATTATCTTCGGAAACGGGACCCGTCGCTAATCCACGCGCCTTAACCCATGTCGTCCCCTCGAGCCTGCATCGACTCCCGTCTCTTGAGCCCCGACTTTGCTTCCGCTGGCTTCGGCCAGCAGTCCACCTCCGCTTTGCTCCCGCCGGCCTTCCGCCGAGGCAACGGGGCCGAAGGCGGGGCCCACCTCTAGGAGCGCCCTGTGCAGCCAACGTGGCACATGCTCAGCCAGACGGGGGTGTTTTGCAACCTCGGGAGATCGGAGCAGGGCGGCTTGAGACACTGGGAAATCAAGATCGGTCCCCCCCCCCGGACCCCTCCCAGGGTCCAAGCGCACCAATTTTCCGCGCTGCGTCCAGCCATGGCGACCAGGGGACCCCGGAAGACCAACTACCGGTGTCTCAAACGGCCCTCCTCTGAGGAAAGGCTTTCTGATTGTTCCCGATTTCGGCGGTGAGCCTAGGGGGGGAAGTGAGAAGGGGCGGGCCTCCTCAGAAGGCTCGGAAATCTCCTAGCCTTCGGAGAAATTGTCTAAGCCTTCCCCGAAAACGCAAAAGACCTCGCAGAAGGCTGGAGGCCTTCTGAGACCCCCCCCCGCTTTCTGAGGCCTTCTCCTTCTCACTTCCCCCCCCCACTCCCGCTGGCCGCCGACGATCTCAACCCCGACCCCAAGGTTTTTGACGTCGCGATGTTTGCAAGACTTTGGCCATGGAGAGCTTTCGACCTATCCTTTGGACCAACACTTCGCCGCGAGCGGCTTTCTTGCGGCCCCCGAGGCCCGAATACGTCCCCTGGACGCCGAAATCGTGGGGGGAAAAAACATAGTCCTGCTGTTTTCGAAACGCGTGGAAATCTTGGCCGGCTGGAGACTTCGCTCAAAACACTTTCCCGACCACTCCTAGACACCATCCTGGCATTTTTTGAGCTGCGTCCAGCCGCGGCTGAGGGGGGGCCCCCCAGAGGCCCACAAAGGGCGATGGACGTCAAACCCAGTAGGGAGGTTTGACGAGAGGGAGGAAGAATATAGCGGGGAAGGAGGAGGATTAGGAGCAGGAGGAGGAGGAGGAGGAGGAGGAGGAGGAGGAGGAGGAGGAGGACACGGTGCATCAACGATGCTGCATTGCACGCTCACGTCCGCAATCCCTCATCAGAAGCATCTGCAGGCCTTCCTTCTCACGGTGTGGAGTCCTTTCACAAACGAGGGTCCCGTGGGCATGCCATTCAAGCGAGAGGCCCCTTCTGAGAAGGAGCCGCCCGCAATCGCTGTAGGTATGATGAGAGACGCAAAAGGCTGGATCGTCAAGGTCGAAGCAATGTTCAACGAGAGCCCGTTTTGAAATCCGCCGACCCTGTCGGAGTGTGCGAGGAGACTTTTCCGTTTGAGTCGTCGTCGTCGCCGCCACTCCCCATCAAACGTTCCAGCAAGGAGGAAATCGAGTAGCGTCGTGATCGAATCTCAAGGAAAGCCCCTTCCCTTTGATCCCTCCCCCCAGCCAGGGAGGTGGTTAGGGGGTGGGTCGGATGGTGGCGTGTGCGTGTGTGTGTGTGTGTGTGCGCGTGTGTGTGTGCGTGTGTGTGTGTGTGTGTGTGTGTGTGTGTGCGTGTGTGTGTGTGTGCGTGCGTGCGTGCGTGCGTGCGTGCGTGCGTCTGTGTG